GGGTTTTCACTACCCCCCCCCCCCCCAAGTTAAACCCTAGTTTTACCGCTGGCTTTCCTAAGATTTAATTCCTCATAAAATCCCGAATATATATCCTCACAATTTAACAGACTGAAGTGCAAACTACTCATTGAATGAATCACAGCCGATGTACGTCACTTCTCTATCCATCAATTGAAGTTAGTCACCCAACAAGTCGGTGACCACAAGTGAATGGTCTGTGATTGACAGGCTGTGTGTGTCAATCACAAATCAAGTGTTTTTGATGTGTCACCGACATCCATACGATATCTGCCAATACGATGCGACTATTTCAGTGACGGTGATCTAAGTTTGTATAGTGACTATATAGCCTGGACCACATCAACTTATAACATCCGTCTCATTAATATGAAGCGAGTCAGTGGTGTGTTATTGACAGTGCGCAGGGACCAATCACAAACCGGGCCATTTTCCCAAGTCACTGCTCAGGAAATCGATGGTAATATTTAAGGCACGAGCGCCCGCTTTTCCCCTCACAGGCAACCGTAGCTCCTCTTCAGCCTCTGAAGACAGGCCGAGAGAGACCTAACTGTGAGAACAACAAGAACGAGATTTGCCAGGTGAGTTTTACAAACAATTGTTTTACTTTTATTGTTCTCGCTGGGATTCATTTCTACAAATCAGTTGATGCAGTTGATGTTTCTACATATTGCTTATGCAGGCCTTCTGCTGTACTGACTCCCTAAAAGAATTGAAGCGCAAGCTCTCGCATGAATTAAGTCATGTTTACATGTAGGGTTCCACTCAGCATGCCACTGAGATTCTGTTGATTTTTTTTCTTCTTCTTTTTTACGAACAACGATAGTGGTATTTTGATTAAAATTTGGAATGTTGAGTGGTTGTACAGATGTTCACAATTCCTGAAGATTTTAATACACATTCGGTTGACAGACAGATGGTGGCTGACGCTAATAGTCAAACCAGCACCCTAATTTCTCATACCAAAATAATATTTGTTTTTACGACTGTAACTTGATTATGGTAGTCCACCTGTAATATTACCGCCTCTACTTCCTTGATGGTGTGAGGTCGACTCTCTTATCAATGAAGAAAATGTAAGCTCATTGTGATTCATACAACAAAAGTTCAAGCAATTTTAGAGGAATATAGGATCATTTTTCTTCATTGCTATTTTGTTAGATGCAACCAAATTCCATAGAATATGAACTAGGGTGCATAACAACCTACCTGTTAAAGTTTTAGCCCAGTGGATAATATACACGATGAGAAAAAATGTTTTGGTCTGGAAAAAAGGATTCCGTTACAACACACGTAAAACAGTGTGCCCGCGGGGACATTATTTTGAAAACCCATTCCATGTTAAGGTTTTTATACAATTTTCGGCAGGGTATTAGATTTAAGTCCTATCTTCCTTTTTGATCATTGAGTTTCTGTCATAGACCTTTATCATGCTGCCACCATTTAAGTCATGTTCCCTGTTTCCAATAACAGTACTGAATGATAATAATTGTGCGCAAAAAGGAACCAGACGATTTTTCCTCCGGCCTCGCTTTGTTTACGTTGATTTAAAAGGGAAAAACTCAAGATGGCCGCAATATGATAATTGTTTTTTTTTTTTAAACCGGTAGTTACTTTTCCGGGCATTTGCAAATAAGCTTGCACTGCTTAAAATTGTTTTTTTTTCTAAAGATAAAAAAAACAATCATAGAATCCTATTTGTGAGAAATTATTTGTTGTACATTGTTTTTGAAACCGGTAGTTACTTTTCCGGTCATTTGCAAATGAACTTGCACTGATTAAACTTCTTCTTTTTTTCTGAAAAAAAAAATAGAATCCTGTTTGTGAGAAAAAAAAAATTGTAAACTTTGGAGTGAATCCATTCAGGCCGCTGTATTGTTCACTGGAAATAATCAATCCAAATCACAGTTCGCCCCGACAGAGAGTGTTTTACACTCTGGTCCGAAGTTTTGATACAAATTAAGTCCGAAATGGCAGCCATTTTTAAATCGAAAATAGCCGCAACACGATCAACGTTTACAAATAATTCAGAATGAAAATGTATGCCTTATTTTGTGTTATTTACAATTGGGTAATTCAGTACCATTTGTACACTTGATGTTGAACTGTGTTAGGCCTATGGCTAGTTCACACTTTATTCTGGATTTATTATAATTGATGAGGCACAGTTTATTTTTTTTTTTCAAGTGCAATTTGTTTTATCCAGGAGGATTCAAATCATGTATAGAATAGATGTTTCTTCAAAATCTGCCCTAATGCTCTGATGTCCTCGAAAAAGCCATATTTGTTTGTGTCTTGATACTTTGATTTTGTTCTAGTTTTAAAGTTGGAAAAGATTTTCACAAATCCTACAGATATTTTGAGACTCACTTTGTTGTGAAACAGATGGTGACTGGTGTTAATAGTTAAAACCAGCTCGCTGATTTTAAATCCGGAATATAACAGTTTTCTTCTAACGGCTATAACTTGACTACCGTAGTTTACCTGTAATATGTTCGCCAATACTTCCCTGGTATAAGAACAGTTTCCCATTTAATTGCAGAGTAGTTATGCTCACTGTGACCGCTACGAATTCAAATTCAAACACGTTTGAATTAATAACCATTCTTTATATCGCGTGAACGGTTCTCTCCTATTCTGCAAGTTCCACCAAATTTACCTTTTGTTTTTCACTTTTGAATGAGACATCGAACACATTAAAATATTGAGTAAAAAATTAGTGTTCAAATTGTGAATTGAATTTTTTGAGGCCGATTATATCTCATCCACATAATTCAGGCCGACGTTTTGTGCTGGAAATGCGCCAAAGCAACTCCAAGTAAAAAGTGTGTTACATAACAATATTTTCTCTTTTTTTTTAGAAAAACAGAAAAAAAAAGTTTGCGTTGGAGAGCCCGAGCAGAGAATCTTTCATATTTTTCAAGAATTTCTTTTGGTGATAACCTAGTTGACGTCGAAAAAAACAAAACAAATCAATAGTCAACAAAGGTATGAATGTTACTCATGCCCAAGTCCAGTCTTGGCAATTGGTGAACGTATTAAGTAACCCCCCCCCCTCCCCATGCCCCCCCCCCGAACAAAATATTACATTACACCAAAGAGAATATCAGATTAATTTATCTTCTCGTTGTCTTATAAGTGAAACGCAGCTTTGCCTGCCTGCCCCGACAGCCCCCAAGTTATCCCTGAGCGAATGTTCAATGACTGTTGATATTATTTTTCAGCCTGCAAATTGCTCGAGTGGTGAGGATATCATTCGTGACAGACTTCAAAAAATTACATCAAGGTGAGTTTCTGTCAACGCCAACCTAGGATATATATTCGGGCGATTGAAGACACTGAAATGACACCATCTTCTGGGCTCAAATACTAGACAAAAAAAGTTTGCTGATGTGTTTTCATCAATACCAGATTGTAACAATGTGATTTTAAGCTAAAGCAATATGAATACTGACGACAATTGACACACGTCTGTTTATACACCGAATGGCGTCGTATATAACGCCCCACTTTGTTCATTAAGGTCAATAGAGCTCTGTTTATTCCTAACATTTGATTTGATGTCTTTTAATTTAGAACAGAAAACGAAGTTTAAAAACAAAAATATATTTAAAAGTTATACCTTTAGAGAATAGAGGGATCCCCCTGCCCTTGACCCATTATAGCAGCGCGCCTGATATTTTTTTGCCAAATTTACTTACAAAACTGTTTGAAGTTATAACGACCATGTCAGGACAGGTGCAAAATGTGCCCTCCTATGAAACGTCTTATAATAGTTTTGGAATGTTTTGGCCATCAGCATGAAATTTTGGAGTCTTTTCCTAACTTTTACCGGGGATCAATATGGTGTCAAAAGAAAATCTGTAGAATGTGCGTGGCTACCATATTTCAACCGATTTAAAACATTAGTGATCATCAACCTTTCTTATTTTTTTAATACAAAACTTTGAAATAAGCAATGTTTCAGTCAATCCATGATTTCTTTGCCTAAACCTATCAAATATTTACTTAAGACAAATATTCATGGTCACGTCATGGACTACAATGCATGTGGGGAATCCAAAAATGGTCTCCATTGGAGCAAAACGCGGCTTTTAATTTTCACCTCCGGGGTACTTTTTCGATTGTTCCCTCATGAACAAATTAAATGAGAAGCATTGAAAAAATCACAATATCAATCATTTTTGGTAAAAACAAAATCAAATCTAGGAAAAATTACAAACAATGACGATCTTACCACAAAAAAAGTGAGAGTAATACAACGTCCTCTTCCGGTAAATGTCCATGCCAACGTTTTGTTTAGTTTGATTGATAATGGTCTATGCACTGTTTGTTCCAAATCTGAAGGTATTTTGATAAATTAAACACAATGTAGACATTTGGCCAAATACCATTTTGACTAGAAATAGCCCAGATAAGTATTACATTGCTTTTCCGTGGTTGCCTTAGAGCTACCATTTTGGTAGATTATTGGCCATAAAACATTCCTGCCAAATTTGAAGGAAAGTGGCAGTTGCGTATGAAAAATAGAATGGGAAAATGCCCCCCTCGCTGTCCCGTGGTATTGTGGTTTTGTGGTATAACACTCTCAATTTAGACTTCGACGAAATCATTCATTTCAGAAAGGCAGATCCGTCACTCGAATCTGTCAAAGGACGGATTCGTCATAGAATATGTGGCGTTTACACTAAAGTCTTCAATACATCAAATGTTGTCTACGAGCAATGAATTGCATTCAATGAGAAGTTTAAAGAGAAGCTTGTCGAACTTGATCAGATTTAAGATTGAGGATATAAAATCTTCAAATACTTCACATGGTAAATGTGTAATGATTTTTTTTTATTTAAACGTCAAGTTTGCAAAAGTCTTACTCTGATGTGATTTCCACAGTTTCTCTGACCTCAACATTTTTCTCGAAGCTTGCCCCATTTGTTTCCATATTTATGTATTTCCTTTTTATGTTTTTTGTTCCTTTACAGATGAAGATTTGCGTGACAACCGCTCTTTCAATCGCACTCCTTCTGGGTAACTCTGTCAAGCTCCGAGCTTCCGTTACTGGGCCGGTTCCCTTGGACGGTGATGGTCCTGCGTCTCAGGTGTGTCAGCAGTGCTGCCAGGGACTTGCTGCCATACCCGGCATACCAGGTCTGCCTGGACCAGCAGGCCAGATGGGGCCGTACGGTCAGCCGGGGTCAAAGGGCGTTGCAGGTCAACAAGGTCAAAAGGGTGAGATTGGCCCTATGGGTGAGCGGGGAGCGCCTGGGAACATTGGGTCTAAAGGTGACGATGGGATTGGCCTACCTGGAAAGATAGGTCCGAGAGGTCCCCCTGGTTTAGTTGGAACAACCGGGGAAACTGGTTTCAAAGGTCAGAAGGGTGAGCCAGGGGAGACACCAGACGACTCCAACGAGCGGGTAGCATTTACCGTGGTGAGGACGAGCGCCTCGGATACCTCTACGAGTCACGACACCCGTTTACCATTCCAGGAGACCGAGACGCTTTTGCCGGGTACCAGCTTCGATCTCGAGACTGGCACATTTACCTGTACTGTGCCGGGCACCTACGTGTTCATGTTTTCTATGTGCAAACTTAATGACGCGACAATTGCACACATTCATCTTCGAAAAAATAACGACTGGGTTGCCTCTGGCCAAAGCTATGATAGAAGTCACCATGAGCAAATGTCTGGAAGCGCGGTGTTGGTTCTGCAGCGAGCAGACACGGTGTATCTGACTATATACGGTAGGGTGCTTGGTGGATTCACCAAGCACTACACCTCATTCAGTGGCTTCCTCCTTTACCCCGAATAGACTAACATTAACCACGCATACAATTATGCAGGGAATCACACGCATTGCCGAATTTTCAATCGCTCCAAGTAATTGTAAAATAGAAATTTCGATATAACATAAATTAGTTTACATGCATATGTAACTGTTGTAACATATGTAACATTTGTACTGTTATTAGCGCATTCGTAGATCCATTTAACGGCATTAGATTCGCGAAGGGTTTTTGGTGCTTAATTAGCACTGCAAGTCTGTATGTGTCTTTAATTATTTGTTTCATCATACCTATTGGCGGCCATTCAAACTTTTTAATGTTTTTAAATTTGAATTTTATTCCAAATGTTCTTGACCCACCCGCCCTATTTTCGATTTATAAAAATTGTTTTGTCATTACAGATTAAATTCATGAACATGTAGGCCTACATGCACTTGCATACAAATATACTTATACATGTACATGTGTCCATGCACAATGCATATCCCTGCACATTGTGTGTCCATGCACATTGTGTGTCCAGTTCAGTGATGGCTAAGCGCTGCTCCCCCTGTTGCCATGGTGCCCTGAGAAATTGTGCTTCATCGCTGATAGTTGGATTAGGTATGTGTGTTGCAGTCCGGTGCTAAAAAAATGTGTGTGCATCGTCAGCAGTGAAGTTTTTAGAAAGAGTTCCGTCCTGCCACCACATTACAAAAAAAAAAATAAGTGAACTACTCATTCAAAAAGGTTTAAAAAGGGATGACATGGGGACAATGGAGATAATCTCTAACCACCAAAACTAAATGCCTCACCTGAAAAACCTGTTTGGGAAAAAAACAAACTATTTCCAGGCCATAACACCAAACAATAGTAAAACTGTGTAGTTTCGGACCCCGTTCCATTACGGGAACAAAAATGTGTGCTGGATCTGCCGGTATTTCGCGAGGATCTGCCGGTGTCTAGCATACATCCATGATGGCGGCCACTTTAATCGTCGTGGGAATGCCGCATTAATACTTGTTCATGATGCGTTACATGCATGTAGTGCTTGCAGGCGCTACTTAATGTACAGAGGTCATTATTTGTAAATGCGGACGAAGTTGGAAAAGAAATGTGAATCAGAACGCTCGTGCGTAGCACGGGCAAGTCAGAAAATCTAGTTTTGTTTTTGCTTTGTTTTTCTTAGTGAAAAGTGAATTTGGATTTTCAATTATTTACCTTGACCCACCCACAATTTGGAAAAATAATCAAAATTTAAGAACATTGAACATTTTGAATGGCCCCAGATGTTAAATAGAAAAATTGTCATTAGAAAATGTAATACCTTGTGTGGATAGGGCAAATATTACATTAACTGTCAAACATACATTGATATTTCACTATTATACACCTAGCATTCTTGTCACTGTTTTATCTGTACATCAAATTGATTAAAAATCTGACCAGGCATCTGACGATCAGCTTAAAAGGTCAAAGTTTAAATAAATCAACGTATCAATGTAACGGTAATGTGTAAACGTTATTCACATTAACGAGTTCAATCGTTTTGGTTGAACGTTCAGATGCGCCGATAGTCACGGATCGGTGTGCGTATCGCTGCGGATTGCGTACGTTCTCTTTATAGCTGTCTACGTTTTGTAGTAATATCTTGCCCTCTGGATTCACGCATGCTCACAATGCCAGCATTTGTCCTGTGAAACATGTCATCGGACTCAATACTTATTTCCCAATGAAATGTCTCTCTTCCTAACTTCTATTAATTGAAAAGGTGTGTTTCCGGATAAGGGGTTGAAGGCTTTTCATAAGATGGGCGGAGACACGCCCAAATACCAATTATTATTATTTTTTTCAAATTGCGCATTATGAATTGCACCACATGACCCAGAATATTTCAAATTTCATTATTCAATCAATGTTTTCCTTATTTTTTTACTTGGCATATTTTAAGTAGATCTTTTGTATAGTATTTTAAGTAGATTTTTTTGTAATTGTAAATCACTTGAGTATAATTCTTGTAAAAACCTAGTTGCTAACGATTTAATACAATGTTCATGAGCACAGCCCATCGCAAGTCCACTCAAGGTCATTCGAGGTGCTCAAGGTGCGAGCTACAAAGGGAAGTATAGAGAAAAAAGTTACACAGAGAGAAGAGATCTATTCACACTTATTGATTCCAAACACTTTCATAACACACTATTTTTGAAGGCAATTAATTTCCCAATACTTATCGTTTGATGATGTCATGAAACGATGTCATCCAAAATCTGCTCTAGTTAACAACTATCATACAAGTACTCATATTTAATCTTTGTTAGATTTATCGTTATAGCTGCGATAGTAAACAAATTATTAAAAACAGAGTCGAAATTTGTGTGCTTTGATATTTGTTTCTATTTTCTTGCAGCTCAGGAGAAAACAATTTGAATTTTGAGGCTGGGGTTAAGGTCTGGCGGAGATTGGCTTGATGGTGGATGGGATTTGAGGATGTGTGGGATCGAAGGTGGATGGGTTATTAAGGGTGGGTGAGAGACGAAGTGGGTCAGGTTGAGTTGGTGAACAAATAAAGGGTTGGCGTGGGTTGCAGGGGGTAGGCAGGACTATGGTTTAGGGTATAGATATGGGCAGAGGGGTTGGGATTTAGGGTGGGTGGGACTGAGTTTGATTTAGGGGCGGGGACGTTCATAGGGATTATCGTGGGGTTGTTGACAATGGGTATGAAAGTGCGACTCTTCATTTCAAGCTCAGCTAAGCCCAGCTTACGGACCTGTCTGACCAACTAGCTCTCAGGGGCAGGGGTTTCGCTTCAGTGGGGGATGGGAGGGGGTTGAGGCTCATTTGATTCGGGTGATTCACAATGCAGTGCACCACCAAGAGTTTGACAAGGAGGCCATATTGTTCAAGCTTACGGTCGACAAAACATGGCCCTTTTGAATGAGTGTCTATAGACAACTTGAGCTAATATGTTATAGATTGGGGAATAGCGCTTTTCCGCCTTACAAAACACCATATTGATAAAAAGACAAGAAAAGGGAAAACAGATCCTCGAATCGTACGCCTACGAAAGTGCAGACCTGAAAAACTAACAATTTAGTTCAATGCCCGCGCTGCGAATTTGTCGACCATCTCGCACAATGCACTGGGACAAACTAACTCTCCGTGGCAAACTCTTGGTGGCGCACTGCATTGTGAATCGCCCAAGTTGCAAAGTGGTCTTGTTGGCAATCCGTCAGTATAAACAGCTGGACAATAGCTTTCACAGTCGGCGGCAGTGGGGGTGGGAGAGGGTTTATTTCCCCACCCACGTTTTGAATTTTTTTCCCACCCACTTTTGGATACCTCGCTAGAGAGACGCTTGACTGTGCGTCCCACGTCCAGTAACGTTCCGCAACGACTGAAACTACTCCGCAGTCAATGCCGATGTGAGTGGTGTGCGCCTCCCCTTCTCCCTTCCCTCTGATTTAGCTCCCTGCCCTCCAATAAATAATGACCAGACAGCTGACTGGACAACTCAAACAAGTGGGTATTTGCTGACACTTCATGGGTTTACATCGCAAATGGACAGAAGTCGGCGCGCGGTGAACAGTGTTCATGCAGTGCGCCCTCTTTTGGAAGCAATTGATGATGATAAGACGGAGTGTCCGGGGCTTACGCTGCCATTCCTGAAAATCATAACAAGTTCTTCTTTCACGGTTTCTGTAAATTTTCAAGATTCATGTTTTGGAAAAAAATGTATGCAATGTCATTTCAATGCAATGTGTTTTTTTCTTGAGTTTTTGAGCTTACAATAACTGTGTTTACATTGCAAATGGACAGAAGTCGGCTCGCAGTGAATAGTGTTTATATTGCTGACACATTGCAGCAAAAAAAGTGGCCCTCTAATCATTCTACACAAAACCCCAAGCGCTGCGGTTTGTAATTGTGCACAATCCTTATCAGAAGGCGTGTCACACTCAATTGACTTCGGCATTGGCACTATTTCCCCAGGTTGTGAAGGGACCAGTTTTAGAGATACCTAAACAACTGATAATTATTTGTATGTTTTTATGTTCATCATTTTATTTGTCATTTTTATATGCAACCATTAATCAGGGGGTATCAGTATCAGTATCATTATCATTATTCGAGCTGTCATTACTCCAGTGGCCATTAGACCATTCAATATCTGCATTTTGGAGTTGCATCATTTTAAATTGGAATTCTTTTAAGTAAACATTTTTTTTTCATCATGTGTACATTAATCGTTTAAAGATACATTGTTTTTAGGGGGGGGGGGGGCTCATGCCATATTTTCAATGGGGAGCGCCAATAAAATCCTAAAATCATTCACACTATATTAACTACAAATGCACCCTTGTCACGACTATTTCTTTAGGGGGAGACCGTTCGCATGTACATGTACATTACAATCATGTACATCACAATCCTTCTTGTTGCTAATGCAATTTCTTTTAGGGGATTTTTTTTTTTTTTTGGGGGGGGGGGGCTAGACAAAAGAAATGGGGGGGGGTGGAGCTAAAGCCCCTCTAGCCCCCCCCCCCCCCCCCCCCCGTAGAACCGCGCCTGGAAAATAGCGCGACGCGAAACAATACGACAGAATAAGGGCGAGCTTGGTAAGGTTAATTGCTCGTAGAGACTCTGAATAGTCAACTGCTCGGTACATAAGAATGATAAGAAAAGAGTTATGTAACAGCATTCATATAGCGCGATGCTGATGTATCTTTGGTGCAGCTATGAAACACAAAGTAACTCTCCCACTGCAGAAATAAGCATTATGTTTTAAACGCAAAGAGAAAAGCACCTAGTGAAACAGCCTAGTTGTTAAGCTGTCTGACAGCGCACCCAGGGTTCGGGGTTCGAACCCGCTTGGTGTCATATTTTGGTTTTGGATGCCCGCGGTTCTGTCACTTAAGAGTATTAAATTCCCCATCGTCATTTACCAACAGAAGTTAGCTCGGTCGGTCGGTAAGCTGACTCACAAGTTGGGACTGTCTGCGAAGTCCAGGTTGGCATCTGCGTATAGGTACGGGGTTCTTTTGCTGACTCGGCAGCAAGGCTTAGGGTGCCACCTCGTTTCCTCCCTTTATGGTGCCTGACTTTCGAGTTACAGGGAAGGAGGTGTGGTGGGCCGGGTACCGAGTCCCGGAAGAGTTCTATATGGAAGTCGGTAAGGGGCTCATTGAGTTAGGGTCATAAGTCCGACTCCTGAAGACTTGGCCATCGCCACATAACTTTTTGTTTTATTTTCTTTCTTTTCTATCGGAGGACAATATTGCAAGAATGATTAATTTGTTATATTGAGAGATTGCAATTGTACTGTAGTCGTTCGAATTTAATTTTTGAAA